AAACGCTCATGGCAGTGCTGTAAGCTTTGGTGCAAAGAAGGTTTTGTGAGCAGCACCAATGTCCCCAAGGGCTGGTTGTCACCCAGCGCTGGCGGGACCATGGTGGCTTTCAACCAAGCCAATTTTCACGGTGGAAACCAAGCGTGCCAAGCCGGTACGGCCGGGGATGTTCAGCCCTTACAGGGAGGAAGCCCGTCAGACTCCTCGGGGTACCTGAGATGTGTTTAGCAGTTTCTTACTGACCTGCGCCCCATCTGCTTCTGTTTTCAAAAGGTCAGTGGAGGAAAGCTGGTTGCAGTAAAGGCCTGCAGGTCTCAGCGCCGGGTCATTGACCTGTAAAAGGAAAATCCGGGCTCAGCTGGGGCTCCTGGATGCTGGAGGGACACTCACTGCCCTTTGGAGGTGAGTTGTGGGGGGATTTGGGGAGGGGATGCTCATGGGGCAGCACCAGTGGACTGTGCTGGAGCATCCTCCCTGCACCGTGAGCTGCTGGGTTTTGGGGCATCAGTGGGGAGGTCCCAGTGGGCAGCTGGGACCCGGTTCACCTTTCTCCCCACCTCCTGCACCTTTGCCTGGGGCTGCTGCCGGCTCCGAGGGTGTCTCACCCCCAGGGAGCATGAATGGCCACTGTGGCTTCTCCCTGGGGAGGCCGCACAAAACCAACGAGCCAGGAGCTGAACGGCGCTGGGACAAACCCAGCAGCTCAGAAAGTCGGAGCCGTCTCAGCCTGGCCCACGGAGGATCTCGCCAAAGGGCTGGGACTGCAGGAAGGTCCCATATCCAACCGTTCCCATTCCCCATCCCCAGCTTTTGCAGCTCCCTGGGGATCCAGACTAAAAGCGGACCTGCCGCTGGGGCTGGAGGTGCTGAGCACATCTCTGCACCCCTCAAAAACGCACAGGACACCCCAGGGTGGTCGTGGCCTCGGGATGCTGCCAGACCTTTGTTGCTTTCCTCTTTGGCCACCAGTACTCCCAGTGCTGGAGAAGCGAAAGCTGAACCCCGGGGAGCTGTCTGATCGTCCCAGGAGCGGGGCACTGACCTGCTCCGAGCACATGGAGTTCATCCCGGGCATCTGCAGCGAGTTCATCTGCATCTGTCCGGCCATGGGGTTCATGTTCTGGACGTTGGTGTTTCCTCCCGCCATGGAGACGGTGATGCTCATGTTGTTGTACATGCCCTGCTGAGCCGGCGCCGCCTGGCTCTGCCCTGCTTGGCTGAATACGCTGAGAAAGAGAAAAAAAACCCAAAAAACCCAACATTACTGGGGTGGACCAAGGTTTAACCACGGTGGAAGCTGGGAGGAAGGGAGGTGGCGGCTGCGGGGACATCCACCCTCCGTCCTGCTGTCACAGGAGGCTCCTCGGTGGTATGGGGTCGAGCAGGAGAAACACCGGTGCCAAGAAAGGGATCGTTTGGGCTGGATTGAGGGTCAGCCAGATGCAAAGCCCTGGTCTAGGTGACACCAAGATTTCCCAGCACGCTCCTCGACACCCGACCATCCCTCCTTCTGCTCCAGGCAGGAGGACAGCTCTGTCGCAAGGTGAGGGGGGGCATCCCACCTCCATCAGAGCTCTCACCTCGTCCCACCCACCCCAGTGACCTCCTTCTCCGTGCTGAGCCACCTGCACAGAGCCCAGACACTGGGCAAGACATCCTCCAGCTGAGTTGAGTTTTGGGGTTTTTTTCCCATTTCTGGAGATCTGAAGCTGAAACCTGACTCGTGCAAAAAAAAGGCAACAAGTCTGGTGATTCTTCCCTGCGTCAGAGCTGGTTACACCTTCGAGAGTCACGCAGCGACCTGGGGCTGCTGGTCCTGACTCAATGTATTGTCGTGTTTCCTCCACCCACTTTCACAAGCTGTAATTAAGCCTCTCGTTTAATTACAAGCCAAAGTCCTGCTTCGTGTCTGACTCAACACACATATTCATTTAAATTCTGCAGGCTTCTGGCTGTCCCCAAGGCGAAGAGAAGGACAGGGTTGATGGTGACCTTTGGAGGATGTCACGGTAGGAGGACACAGCCAGAGCTCAGCACATGTCCCCAGCCATCACCCGACCAGGGGACCATCACCGCGGTGTCACCTTGCTGCCTGTTATGTCACCCCTGCACCCCAGGTTGTCCCCCCCGTGCTCTTACCTGCTGTTCCCCATGGCTCCCTGCTGCCAGCTCTTCATGTCAGGCGACTGGTAGCCGGGTGTCGGGGGGGCCGGCTGCAGCATGGGGCTTTGCGAAGGCGGGAGCTGCGGTGACATCAAGGGGCTGCTGGGGCTGAGCGACGGAGCGAAGGCGGGTTCGCTTTGCTGACCCATGCCTGGGGAAGGACAGATGGCATCAGCGGTGCCGAGACCCCACCAACAGCCCCAATTCCCCCCTCCTCCCCTGCAACTGCCGGCATCATTCCAGAACTTGATTTTCAGTCTCAGGGTCTCATGATTTTTGTTTTGAGCAGCTGTAGCACTCAAATATCAATATTTCAGGGATGAAGGAGCAGGGAAACCCCCCCTCGAGTGGTTTCTATCAGCAGGCGTTCCTCTTTAGCATCACACCTGGCTGGAAAATAGCCAGGGGAAGGAGGAGATGATGCCCCAGGAAGTTCCTACAGCCATAGCGCTGTTTTCTCTACTCATCAGCAGCATCCACCTTGCTGAGACCCTGCACTGATGCTCAAACATGAAGACCTTCAAGGCAACAACTCTGCACCTTGGAGGTGTCCAAGGCCAGGCTGGATGAGGCTTTGGGCAACCTGGGCTGGTGGGAGGTGTCCCTGCCCATGGCAGGGGGTGGAACTCAATGGTCTTGAAGGTCCCTTCCCACCCAAACCAATTTAGAGGACTGCCTGGCAGTTTGATTTTCAAGGAAAAAAATTAAGGAACTATTTGCCTAAATGATAAATTTATTTTTTAGAGATTCAACCACAAAAGGTTCCCTTGGGAGATGGAGACCAGAGGCCAGACCAGTTGGTAGGCTGGGGATGGGTGAGCAGAGCTGGGCAGCAGCACCCTTGGGGTGGGGGGACCTCAGCACCAGATGGTTTTCCAATGCACCCAACCTCTTGACCTACCTGATCCCGAATACTGAAAGATGTTCTGCTGCATCTGCGGGGTCATCCCAGTGCCAAACTGCCCCCCGACGCCGCCCATCATCCCCCTGTTCACCATGCTGCTGCGGTTGGCCAGCGCGGCCTCGGGGTTGGATGCCAACGGTGAGAAGGGACTGGTGGAAGTGGGAGGGTTTCCTGGGCTCGTACCGTAGTTTGGGGGGTAAGGGAATTGCTGGGGGGGTGCTTGGGGTAAGCGAGCCGCTCCGATCTGGACCGGGAGGCCGGCGGAAGGAGGGAGGTTGTTTCCGAAGCTTTGCTGTCTCATCAGGATGGCTCGCTGCTGCATGAGCTGCCGCTGCCGGTGCTGCTGGCTGTAGAGCTCCCGCTGGCGCTGGGCCAGCATCTGGGCATTGAGGGGAGGCTGTGGGGAGGGAGGGGGATCCCCTAATTATCACCGTTACCCTCTGGTTCCCCCAAACAGCTCAGAACCACCCCCCTGGTGCAAGAGCTGCAGGTGTTCTTCCCTGGCTTGGGGTGCTCGTTCTCAGTTTGTAAAAAAAAGCTGGAAAAATCCCCAAATGCTGTAAATTGGCCTGTTTGAGGCGCTGCAGGGCACAGCAGGTTGGGGATATTAAAAGATCAGCCTCTGGACATGCTGAATAGCAAAGCTCCAGGAGCTGGAGCATCCTCCGAGCCAGGAAAGGAGGCTCCCGGTCACCTGGATGCCACCAAGCATCCCTCTCCTCCGCGCAACCCGCTTCTGTGCCCTCACCAGGATGCTCCCATGTGCCAGAGCCCAGGATCCCTGACCTTGGCTCTTTCAGCTGCGAGCTGTTAAAAAAAAAACATAAAAATCCCCATCCCACGAGCTTTTCCATCACCGTGGGCTCATTTTCCATCTGGCTGAGCCAGATGTGTTGGAATTAATCACCTTACAAAGCCTGACAAAGCTATCAGCGGCTGAAACCGGAGCTAGGATGGGAACCGTTCAGCCCCCCTCCCCTATCGCTAACGCTCCCCACGGCACATTCGGGATGGCACACCGCTTCCCGAAAAGGCAAAAGCTTCTCTGAGGAGTGGAATAAAGTCACCAGAACTTGTCTCTGCTTTCCAACTTCTCCTCGTACCCAGCAGATGTTTTATTCACTTTATTAGAAGCCAAACAAGAACTTTTTAGGGCCTGGGGATTTGCAGGATCGTTAAGAAGATTCACTAGAGGTTCTGGCATCTATTTCCTAAAGATCTTTCTCAATTAAATGCGTTAGCACACTCTTCTCTAAGCGACAATGAAGTATTTATACCTGAAGCAGGTGGAGGAGCTGGAATAAAGGTGAAAAAACCCCCAAACCCACAGCAGCTCTTCTTGCAGCCACCTTTCCGTATGCAGGAGAATTTTTTTCTCTCGATAATGACAGAGAGGAGCAAGCCAGGCTGTGCTCACACGGAGGACGTGGGGATGAACCCCCAAATTTTTCCCTGCTGGAGGACCGCCCCGCATCCCTCCTTACCTGCGCCGTGATCTGCTGCTGCATCCCCGCCCGCATGTTGATGCCCACCGGGGAATTGGCTGCGAACTGGTTTAGGATCGCCTGCCGGTTTTGATGGATCAGCTGGAGGGGAGAAAAATAAAAAAAAAAAGCCAGGGAGACTTACAAAAATCCAATACAGGATCTTCCCACCCATCCGATCCCTTCCGACCGGGATGCGTGACCTGCCTGCAGTACCGAGGGTCTCCTCCATCCCCCTGCCCGCGGTGCTGGGATGCTGCAGGGGGGGGAAACAATTAAATTACCTGCTGCTGGCCCTGCAGCCGCTGCTGCAGCTGAAGTCGCAGTTGGTTGGGGGCCGTCGGGGGTCTGCTGAGCGTCTGGCGGGGTTGCATGGCCATGCTGGTGGGGAAGGCTCCGCGGGGCGGCGGGACCTGGACCGGCATGGCTCCGAAGGACGGCTTCTGCCTGACCATGCCGGGGAAAGCGCCGGGGAGGTTGGTGGTGGGAGAGGCAGAGGAGTAAGGCTGGGGATACATGCCGGGTTTCTGCTCCATCATGAGCGGTGGGGTGGCTTGTTGGGGTTGGAATCGTTCTGTCAGGGCTT